CGCTGATCCTTTGACCGGAATAGTAGAGCTCAACACAGTTCTTAGCTGTTGATATAATACAAGGGGAATAACAGTTGGTATTCTCTTGAAAAATAATGATAAAAATAGAAATTAATGAATTTAATAAAGGTAGTAACACGCAAGAACGAAGGGGAATCGTGCTTACATCTCACCAATGCCGTTTTGTTCTCCTGAACTTGGGTGACGTCCTTCGTTATTTTTTTCAAACAGATTGCAGTGTTCTTTTGGCAATCTATTGGGAATGCCCGCGTTGATGGTAAAATTTAATAAGTCACAGAGAGTGCCACAAAAATTAGAGCAGAACCTGAAGGATAGAAATCTCATTACATGGTGTGAATTCACTGCTTAGCCCCGATCGAGGATTAGTAAGGGGGGTCGGATTAATATTCGCTGAATAAATAAAGTCCTTGGAGGGGTAAATAGATAGCATGCTCCTCAGAAATTGTTGAAATTTAGATGGTCAGAAAGATGATTTTTGGCGTTTTAAAGGATAACTGTCAAAAACTGCACTTTCTTGAAAAGTTTTTCATGGATGATAGAACATGAAGGTAAAAGATGATAGAAAAAGGGAGATGAAGATGGTTGAAGGTGAATGACGGTAGATGAGGGGAGAATAAGGTAAGTGAACGGAAATTAGGGTAGATAAGGGTAGATGATGATAGATAAAGTTAAATAAATGCAAAGTCTTGTACATTCAGGAAAATGAAATTAGATGAAGGTGCTTGAAGGTAGAATAGGGCCAATGAAGGTAAATGATGGTATATTTAGGAGATGAAAGTAAATGAAGGAAGTTGAAGGTTAATTCATTCGAAGTTAGATAAAGTTAGAAGAAGGTAAATAAAGGTAGATGAAGATCAAGGATGGTAAAAGAAGGAAAATGAAAATGAAGATAAGTGAAGGTAGATAAAGGTAAATGAAGATAGATGAAGGTGAATGAAGATATAAGATGGTAGATAAGGTAGATGAAGGTAGATGAAGGAAGATGAAGTTATCTGAAGGTGAGTGATGGCAGATGAAAATGAATGTAAGTAGATGAAGATAGTGGCTGAAGGAGGATGAGGATAAATGAAAGTAGCTAAAGGACATGGAAGGAAACTAAAGGAGAAGGAAGATAGATCAGGGTATATAAAGACAGACATGCACAGGCAAATGAAGGTCTGAAAGTAAAGAATGGTAGATGAAAGTAGACCACGGTAGATGAAGGTAGATGAAAGCAGAGGAGGATAGATGAAGATCAATGATTGTAATTTTAGGTTGATGAAGGTAGATGAGGCCAAAAGAAGATAGATGAAGGACAGGAAGAACAACGAAGGATATAAAGGTAAATGAGATAATAACAGGGTAGATGAAGTGAGATGAAGACAATTAAGGTAGATTAGGGTGGATGAAGGTAAATAAAGGCAAAGGACGTGGATAAAGGACAATGAGGCATAGTATGGTAAAATTGAATATATATATTTAAATATTTTAAATATTCATTGCATGATACGTTAGAGGCCTAAGAGTAAACGATTTCATTTTTTCAGTTGCATGAAAAGCTATGAATATATATATATATATATATGTGTGTGTGTGTGTATTCCATACCGACACCAAAAACAAAGCTATTTGGCTCTGGTCCTAGTGAGACGAAATCCCCTTACTGGTGGTTTCTCCTTTTTGCACGTAAGACGAGTTGACGAACAGTGAATAGTTTTAGTATTAATTTTTAACCTTGTTCTGTTACATGCGACAATCTTTTGCCGGTGGCCAGCCCTAACAATATTTTTTTTTCAATTGTGCATGTGTTTTCCTCAAATGTCTAACTGACTGCGTCATCAAAAAACCACCAGAGATTCGTTTACATCATTCAATTAACTCGTACGATAGTGAGGTAAAACTGTCATTCAAAATACTTAACAATCTGTAAATTACTTAAACAGCGTGTTTTCACCTATCCGCCATTAAGCAAATGCCGTGAGCTCTTTAGTGATCTCTTTGGCTTTAAAGATATGTCCTCCGTTGATTTTTTTCAAAGAAACCTTATGCCTTTTTTACTCGATTATAAATCAGCTTTGATAAAGCGAGAGCGGATATCTTGTGGATATCTATAGACTGAAAAACTTAAACAACGAGGAAGATGAGATAAAATTACAACAATTTTGTAGATCCCCTCTTGAGCAGGTACTTTTGCTAGGGGGCAGTTCATCCATGAAGTCAGTCCGAGGAAATCGAATTATGTTGATTGTCGACCAATTAATATGGTATATCCCCTACTCATATAAATGCCATTTTGTGCTAGAAGCCCTGTTTGTGCTTATTTTCAGTTGCACTAAAAGTAAAAGATCCCACGAAAGCTGTTCAAACTACCCAAGACACTTCGTTCTTCTTGTTTATAACGATTCTTTAGGTTTTATATTTAATGGCCAAGGATGTTTCTGTTTGTTGTGCGAAGCTACAAGAGTGGCTCGAAACTGCTCCCCACATTCCTTTGATACCTATCTCCTCCTATCTCCGCATCGATTCTGAGGCAAACAAAGAATGCAATAGTCTATCTCACATTAGGTTCTAACTTAGAGCCGAATACGAAAGAAATAGATGTTTAAGTTGTTTCCACCGAGGGTGGACAAATTCGTTTTCAATTCTCAGAAAAGACGAATTTTGGCACGAACGACGATAAATCAGCCAAAAGCTCAGGCATAATTCTAACTTGTTAGGGAGATATTGTCAAAAACTAAACGTAGCCGTCCACCGTGCCATTGACTCGACATTGGCAAGCCATTTCCAGGGCAGCCCACTTGAAACTAAATCTTTATAAAAGAAGGTCATTCTATATACTACGAAAATGTTTACGTTTGAAA